TGTAATAATGCATTAGTTTGGGTTGGTGGTTTGTTGTCCTCCAGCACAAACCCCTCTTTTCCATTGGGCTTTTAGGCTTTCTATTTTTATATTACACTCAGAAAAACTCTTCTGGTAAAAGGTCAAAGGTTAGTAGTTAATGTCTCGTTGGTTTCATTGATGGGCGCGTGCTGGAAAATAGATATATTGTACCATGTAAGCTGACGTACAGGCAGCCATTTAGGAAGTCAACAGGCAGTTTGCAAAAGTCCACTTCCTCTTAACCCTTCCTGTTCATATGACAGGCGTGGACCAGGCCCTCTGGACCGTATATCACATGTTTATTCTGTGGATTAAATTGACTAATGACAGAATGTGAATGCAAAAAAAAAAAAAAAAATGTCACTGTAGGTTTTAGAGGCTCAGAGAGGAACTCACACACTTTAGTGAGGTCAAGTACGGCCAAAACGACCAACGGCTCTAGGCTCCACCCCTATCCCAAACCCTTAATTCATTTTTTCAAACTGGGTCAGTGTTATTTTCTGGGGATTTGTTAGTTTCTGGTGCACAGCTGCTACCACTGCAGCACTGGGAGTTCTGGAAGCCACTGGGGCATGGGTCAGCAGAGAGCTCAAAATAACACCAGGGTGGAGGGAGTGTCTTTGCCCGTGCTCACAAACTTCCCTCTGATTGTATCGCCATTAAAGACATGTTTTAAGTTATTTTTAGGTGAAAATGGGGAAAAAATATTCTTCCTTAAGCAGGATAAATCAACAGCGGAGACCAGTCGAAGGACCAAGGAACACATTCCAGTGTAAACAAGACTTCATTTAGAGGTGTTAGAATAACTAGCCTTTGTAGCATGCTGGGTGATTACAGAGTGCTTGTTTCTTATCCCTTCCCAGTCTTGTTACTACTATAGTAGTACATTTTATATTAAAGTGGAAATAAAACAGTATAATTTTGGACAGAATTAAGTGTTTAAATATTTGTGTTTTGTCCTATGTCTATTTTCTATTTTTCCATTTTAATTGTGTATTCTTATCTTTTTCAAAAATTGCATTTTTTACATTTTCATTTCACTCTGAAAACAACAAAAAACAAAGCTCCACTGGATCTAACAAAGCAGCTTTCAAAGGTGTTCATGCATTACAGATTAACATGTGTAGTTATTAAATATTCGGAGACAGTTCCTCTAGCTCAGTGGTGTGTCTCAATCTCATGATTCTACCAAATTACAGAGGCTAGATGGCCAAAACATTTCTAGTTGGTTGCTCATGTACCAACAGAGCGAGCAGTTACATTTCACAGTACACCGACAAATCATGTTGTCTATTCTGCCCTCTAGTGGCTCCAACAAACAACAAAGCACACTGTGAATGCCACATTTTGCTCACTCACTACTGAAAATCTGCATTGACATAAATAAAATCAACAAAAACAGACTGGTGATATTTTCTTATTTTAATGCATCATATTGTATATTTATTTTACAGTTATATGCCATCTTATCAGTTACACACAAAACAAAAAGCAGCCATGTAATAATATACTTTGATCTCCCAGAACGTAACAAGACTTTTCTTCCAATGTGGAGTTGAAGGCAGGTTTAGGGGAAACTGATGAGACCTGTGGTGATGTCAACAAAAGGTACATGTTTTAACTTTTTTTTTTCCAAAGTAAACACCAAGCCAAGCAACACCAAAGACAATGAACATATCACAAATAGTGTATTAATAAATACACAGATTAATAATTTAATCAGAGACAACAGTTTTCTGGTTGGAACTAATGCTGATTTTTAATTGCCAATAAATTAAAAATACAAGGGTTCAATACTAAGAGGAGAGACTGAATTGAGGTCTCAATACTGCTGGTGTAGCTATAAAAAAAGGCTAATGTTTTTAGAAAGGCCACTGTATTAGGCACTTAATGAAGTCTGGCATGTGAGTAGTAACTGCTTGGCTATCAGCAGGTTACAACTTTTCTTATTCGGCCTTGCTGACTGATCAACGGTACTGGAGCAGTGTGTTTAACTCACTGTCCAGTTAGGGTCCATGTGAATGAAGCTGACACACAATACATATGATAATGTTCATAAAAAACGGAGTAACCATAACAGCTACTGCACCATGAGATTATCGATTATAAAATAAGACTTCTCTAAGAATTCTCAGCAACACTCGCCACTTCAAACTGAAGTGGATTTTGCGCTTTAAAAAAAAAGTGTCTACTGTATCACTACTTGAAAAAAATGGAATTAGCAAAAAGGGAAGAGGGGGGGAACCTCACATCAAAAGCATTTAGGTCACTGTCTGAGATATATGTTGTAAACAAACAATTTTTTTTTTAAAAAGTTACAGTTTGGGAGATGTTCTGGCACAAATTGCAGACTGCATGGCATCAAACTTAAAAAGGCATGGAAGCAGGTTTTAGAAATGTACTGCAGTTGCATACAAACACATCTTGGGAATGAGGTCTATTTCCTTCCCCTTCACTCCAATGTATTCATTCCAGCACGAGTCTGCTAAAACTGAGACTCCTTTTCATAGAAATAAAACTCATTCTAAAATGACTGAATGGAAGAGAAAGTGAGGCCCGTCCCTGCAACACAATATAAATATGAGATCACAGCTGGTTACAGGGGGCTCGACTGGGGGTCCGTGGGTCTCAGTTGAGCAGCTCCAGGTAAGTGATTGGCACTTTGCCCTTCTGGCTGCCTCGCTCGCCCATCAGCCAGTCTGAATCCATGCCTGGGACGCTGCTGACTGTGATCACCTGGGTGACAGATGCAGCGTTTATTGTATCAAATGATCAACTCTCATTTCCTATTTAAAAAGGTTCACTGTATCATCCATTATCAATGTCAACAGAACATTCACTGCCAAGGTAAATTACAGACACAGCAAAAGTGAACATGTCAGTCCATTATGTAGCATTCATCAGACAGAGACCAGATGTATGAAATCCTTGGTTATAAATCCTGTTATTATCAGGTCATACAGTTGGCTCACCAAATGCATGGGTAGACTGGAAAGTTTTTTCTGAATTTGAGTATTAGAGCGAATGAGGTAATTCTGGGTTCATTGTTAGTCAACCACGGGCTTGTAATGGACAGATCAGTGCTTTTCCAGGAAAGGGAGTGGCTTATGTTCCACTGAACTCAGGCTTCTGCTCCACTGCAGCTGTAGGCCGTGATGTGGTTAACACAACATTTCAATTTGGGTTAAGACTCATTTCTTATTAACTGGAAAAAAAATGACACGGAAAACAAAATGGAAACAACAAATAGAGATAGTCTACTGTTGAGCAATATGGCAAAATGTGTACAACATAAATGAATACTGAAATCATCCTTAACTTTTGCATGATGCTTTCACCCTGTGGACAGTAGATTTTGCTCCACAGTAATAAGATCTGGCGATGATTAGTTGAGGCTCACCTCATCAGCCAGCAGGGACAGCTCGCTGCTGCTGGCAGCATCGTAGTCGTAAAGCACTCTGGCTTTGCGGCTGCCGTTGGAGCTACGCAATTCGTTGAATCCGCCCGATGCCGTCGAGCTGCCGTGGCCCGCAGACACACTGGGCAGGGAGGCAGACACAGGGATGGTGGGCACCGAGATGCTGGCCCCCCCTGCCACCGACGATTGGTTGTTGTTGGAGAACGTTGAGGGGAAACTGGTGGGGAGAGAAGTTCTCTTCAGTACAATGATTTACCAATCCAGGTTTTGTGTCATCGCTCTCTGTAAAGCTGACTTCTCCATGACCTCATCACTGTCAAGATTCTTTAGTATTAGTCATTTTCCTCTTTCTACTGAAAGGTGAAAGCTCGAGTCAACCCTACATGAACTTGCACTGTTTTGATTTTATCACACGAAAGGTTGACAATCGACATCTAATAGTGGAATTTTTTTTTTTTTACCCGTTTCCGAAGAAAAAATAACACTTTGGTGTAAGTCATTCCAGTTCTTGATATGACAGAAGGAGTGAAAGGTGACATAAAGGTGGTATTTCACCTGCCCAGCTGCTTTTGGAGATCCACCATGTACTGGTAACACTGTGCGTAGTACGTAGTCTGGGCTTCCACAAAGTCATTCAAGCAGCGTAGGTGGTGTGCCTGAATGGACAAGGACAGATTTAATGTATGTAAATCAGGCAGAGAGTCTAACCAATGCTAGTGAGCTGCATTATGGGAAGTTTAGGATCCAACGTTTCGGGAGGTTGAACCATACTAGGGACTGAAAGTCAGGGTATCTCTGCTGTGGTTTTTATTTCATGATTGAATGTTGATTACATTCATTCCTCTCTATGGCATTTGAGAGAGGAAGATATTCAACGCCATTTGTGAAGCAGTAGGGGAAGCTGAGCTGGGCTACATACGTGGGTGCTGCTGACGCCTTCTAGCAGCAGTCGGGTGATCTCTGCCTGCCGGTCAAACTCACTCTGGGTCATCCTCAACTCCTGCTCTGCCTGAGGATGAAGAAACAGAACTGGATTTTTAGAATATTACAACATCATACACGCGTGTCTCGGTTGGATACATTGGGTTTTTTTTATACTTGCCTGTGATCACAGTGCTTTACAAACCAAAGGACATGCTTATGTTTAAAAATATGAGTGAATGAACATTTCTCAGACAAACAATATTACCCTCTATTAGAAAATGAGGTCAGTAGGTGTTACCACCTCTGATATGCAATATTATCGGTATTTGAATAAGGATTTGTGTACCATACTCTAAAGCTTCTTGCTATCTGGAAGAAACATTTTAAAAGTCCCGTGTGTAGGATTTAGTGGCATCTAGTGCAGACAGGAAGAAACTACAATGGCTGCAAAACACACCAAAAATGCACATTATATTCCATTTTTGCCATTTGATCCTCCTAAATGGAATACACTTTACAAATATGCAATTTTATAAAATAATCTTTATTATTATTTAAATTGAGTATCAACATGTTTCACCAGTTAGGCCAAAAACAAAACAAACACTAAAAATGAACAGATAAAGAGTCAACCACAAGAGAAAATGATGCCAGTGGGCCAAGACCAAGGAAGTCGGAAGCAGCAAAACAAACAAAAAAGATGCAACAAGACAAACTGTAAGGACTTGTAGGATGGGAAGTCAATGGAAGACAGGGAAAGGGACAACTAAACAACTGAATCGGATGTTTTTTCTGTCCTGAGTTTCCTTTTCCTTATACTGAGCCAAAGGATTCAATACGAGACCAGTGGAACAATGGCTTGTTGAGTCTCGCTAAAAAGTCCAATAAACATATGGTCTGGAGCTGAGACTGACAGGGACAATGGCCCTTACTGTCCTGAACCCTCTACAGCTTACATTAGAGCCACAGAGGAAGGGAGAGCATGTACAATGTTTGGTTCTTGTAGGACTCGTCTACAAGGATTCAAGCTTTTCCATGAGGTACCACAGTACGTGTCATGGAGGAGATTGAGAAAAGGACAGACAGCAGCTGTTGACACTGCTCCCAGGGGGTTGGTTGTGTGTGTGCGTTTGTGTGTGTTCAAATCAAAGATGGCTCCAACATTCCACTTACCTCTGTCACTTCCTCTGCTCACATCTGCTGCTTTGCGTTTTGAAAACAGTGACACAGTAGTTAGAGCTACAGCTGCTGCATGGCCACAGCCAACAACACATCCTTACACTCGGTGTGTGTGTGTGTGTGTGTGTGTGAGAGAGAGAGTGTGCAAGGTGGCAGCAAGCAAACCACACTCTATAAAACGGTGGCAGGACTGTGACAATGTACCGCATATGTATTTCTCACTTCTCAGCTTTCACACGACAGTCTTTGTACCGAAGGAGTGTTAACCAGCTTAAATTAGCATGTACACCTCCTGTATTTAGGAGACACTCTTCTCTTTCATGAGTGAACACGTGTGTTGACAGCACACACACACGTTTGTTTGTATAGATTAAACAAACTATTTCACTGTTAACCACGAGATAAGCCCGCTATTTGGAGAAGAGAAATAAAATGAGCATGTTGACAAGCCACAGGGATAACTTCCCTCTGGGTACGTAGAGGGAAATAATATAATAGTTCTTTAAAGAGGGATGGAAATTAAGCTTACTGGGTCTTAGCTAGATTGCTTTTTTTCTGCATTTGTGGAAAGTTGTGCTCAAAAGCTCATTTACTTTATATGCTCTGAAGACTGCAGCCAAATAGCATTGCTGGGAGAGTGCCCAGTGTTTTAATGTCCATCCATGACTGACATTACATTGCGCTGTTTAGTGATATTGCTTCTAGTAGTTGGAGAATATCAGCAGTTTAGTTGAATACTTGTCTAATCTAGTTTCTTACGGGCACACCCACTGTGTTCCTGTCTTGATGCAGACTCTGTGTGTGTGCGTGTTTTTCCGAAAGGATTTTGTCCTAGACCAGCTAAGTCTTGGCTCGGTACTGAGGTCATTAGAGATATCATTTTCAGACATTGTTAACTTGCCTGGGAGAGTCATGACAGAATATCTGCACTCCTACTGTTAGAATGAGATGTAGGATTCATTTTGTAACTAGACATGTAAATTGAAACCTGTATGTCAGCACACTTGATTTTTCACTGCAAGATTGTGCAAAAAGATATTCCAAAACTACAAAGACCTCAGTCAGTGAATACATAAAATGCCTCAGCTGTATTTAAGTTGTTTTAAGGGCTCAAACCTCCACTTGGTGCTATGTTTCATCATATGTGTGCTGCACAATGCATGCCTGTCCTTTGTTGGGTCCCAAATACATCTTGTGTTTCAAAGTTCTTTAGTAACTTCCTGGTTAAGTGAGTTTGCTTCTGTGTCGTAATGGTGTTTTTCATCTGTGCCCCTAATTTGTCTTCATTAAAGGGCACTAATGCCCCTAAAAATAAATGTAAGCATGGAGCCCTGGTGCGAAAGAAAAAGAGAAAATCATTCCAGATGTCAAAAGAAAAGGGGAGTATCATAGCAAGAAAACAACTGTCCAGAAAAAAGGGAAGTCTAAACTTCCCATAGCTGCTCATGTGACTGTATGCAAGTCACAACAGATAAAATGGTCAGCTTCATGTTGTGTAATTTGGTGCGTCAGCCGTGACTTGTGTGACTTGACAAGGAGGGACAGTAGGACACGCCCAGACAGCTTTTCTTCCTCTTTAAGAAAATTGCAGAATTCACCAACTCTGTTCATAAATCAGCATTAAAATAGCCAAAACACATCCAGATAAAAAAAAAAAAAACGTGTTGCATCGATGATGTGTGTGTGTGTGTGTGTGTGTACTTACTGCAGCTCTAGCATCAGCCATCCTGGCTTTCTTTAACCTGGTTTTGGCTGCATCCAGATCCAAACGTTTGACCTGCAGTAGCTTCCGTTCTTTCTGTAGACAAAATACAATAAAACCGGCCGAGTTAGCGGTTGCTAACTTTATGTTGAATAATGGGTGCTGTAGCTGCTTTACTATAAAAGCCTTACAATGGACAGCCGGAGAAAAGCTTTAATTTTGAAGAAGTGACAGAAAGCATTATATCTGCGTTAACTAAAACCTAACTGCAGTTTATAACGGGGCTGACTTTGCTGCCAGACCCGAGGAAACAAACAGATGATGATGGTTATGACCTCAACCACACAGCAGGCAGTATACTGCTCAGATTATGTGGCTACTTTCAAGCCTTGTGAAAAGAAATCCTATCACAGCACTGTTCAGCTTCTATATGTACAATCTGAATCTGGAATTAAAGATCTTTTAGACTAACATCTACTCTTAGTATGACTGATTATTAAGGCTGTAAAATGGCAGTCTTCTACTCTTTACAGCCATTTGAGAGTTAGCTCCAGATAGAAGGTCAAAGTTCAGTGAAAAAAGAAAGTGACTCAATACCTGCACCCAGAGGTTCAACTCACCAGGATGGTTTTGAAGTCACCTTCTAGAAAGTTTCTGAAAGGTGTCAGGAAGTTGATGGCAGCACTTTGGATTAACTCCCGCTCTGCCCCACCAATCTGCTTCTCCGTCTCGCCACATTTTATCAGAGCATTTCCTGTAATGGACAGCAGCACAAACACAGCTTCAGTCCAAATACAACACTGGACAGGAGGCTGGACAATGTGGCCCTTCAGTTAACTAAGGCCTAAATGCGCTCCTCTGAGAAGGTCATCGGCTGCAATCTGCCATCCCTCCAGGACCCCGGTCATAAACTCTTTGAGACACTTCCTCCTGGCATGAGGCTGCCGTCCATCAGGACCACCTGATAATAACCATTATTTATTTAAATAATGGTTGTATTGTACGTATTGTCTCTCTTTTTAAATTTGCATATATTTACATACATTTATATTTTTATCTTCATTTATATCCTCTGTGTTTACTGAAATGCACCAACTTACCAAGGAAAACTCCTTGTATGTGAAAACCTACTTAATGGCAATAACACCAATTCTGATTCTCATTCTGAAAAAGCCTTAAGACGACGCAGAGGCCTGTGGATACACACTGAGTAGGGATGCACATCAGTATTGGCTGATTCTGACTGACATCGGCCTATCTGCAAATCAGATGGCGTTCCCTAATGTCAGAGGCTTTCTAACGTGGATATGGGAGAAATAATCACCTCCCCCTTTCATCCTTAGATTCGGTATAGGCACCAGCCAAATTGATATTTTCAGCATCAATATCAGCCCAGAATTTCACCATCAGTGTATCCCTAATACAAAGTGCTGTTGTTCAAAGGTAGGAGGGAGCTGAGGCCAATATATTGACCATGACAGTCTGTGGCAGGGGATGATACTGATAACCATAAAAGAAGAGTGGTGCTCGAATGTTCTCCATAAAAAAAAGCCTTTACTCAATTTTACAAGTCCACACTAGACAGAATACGGGAATACTAAACCATTTAATGCAAGCTTTCCCAACAACTACAGCTCATTCATTAGTAGCTAAGAAGCTTTCGACCATTTTATTTGTCCCATAAATTGAAGAATACTGTAGGGGAGGGCTGTGTCTCTCAAGCTAAAGGAATCAGCAACAGAAGCACAAATAAAACCGGCATGAGCAGCAAAGGCTGAGCAGACTTCATCAGGGGTTCAATGTTCGTTTACATCCCAGTATGTCAGGTAGGCAGCTCACTGTATCACTCACCATAGGCAGCTCCAGGACCAAATTCATTTCCGGATTCGATCATGGACTGGCCCAGCAGCTCATGGTTGTTCATTCGCGTAGGGGCTTTTTTCTCCAGTTTCTCATACACAAATTCTTCTAGCCGGACATCTGCAAATGGCAACAAGAAAACTCAATTACAAAGTCATGAGACTACAGTGAGCGGGCCAAACATAGGCGGCGCCTTCAGGACAGTGAGTCCACACAGCACGCCTTACATTTGTAAAACAGAAGCTTTCATTATGACGACCACAACAAGAACGACTCTCTCGGACCCAATTATAACGAATTAGTTTCATGTTTATCACATCACATGAATGAACGCTGACAATCACAGTCAGCGTGTCTGTGGTATGCTGCATGGGAACATAAAAGAAGTAGAACAAATGCAGTTTACCCTAACCAAGACTGTTACACAAGACTGTAACCAGCAGCTGGTCTGTCTGTGTTTGTTGTGCCTATGCCGTGGTTGTGCAACAGCAATACGGCATCCTGGTGTGAGCTGAGGAGGATGCACAGCTGAGCCGACAGACTTCACAGACACCCTACAAACTGATGTATGTCCAACAACACCTCAGAGATGGTTAGCATTGCTGATGTGACACCCTCTTACTGGCAAATGTCCATCACCTCAATTCATCTTCTTCAGGGGAGATTTGGAATATTACCGCAATTGTTGATTTCCAAACATTGTGTAACATTGTAAGGTGGAAAACCTGTGGGTAGTTCACATTCATCATGAACAGACAGAAAAAGTGGTCATTTGTGTGTTTACGCGTCATTAGTTTAAAAATCCAAAATAGACTGAGAGTTGTTCGTTTTATAAATGGGGTTTGTTGACTTTGGCTCCACAGGGAGGGTACCTGCCTTACTGCACAGAAAAGGGGTCCAGTCTGTCAGCTGAGTTCATGACAGAGACAAAAGAGTGGTCTTACTTGGGTTGGGCTGTAGTAACACTTCTGTCTGCTTCATTATCCTTTCTGTCCATTGCTTGGTGTTCTCAGCTCTGACCAAAAGGTTCTCCAAATGAGCATCCAACTCTGTCTTTTCAGCCTGGCCAAACTTCTCTTCTGTGAACTGAAAATGAAAATATCAGGTCAAAGCGTGCACTTAATGTATTGCCTCTAAAGTGATAGCTACACTACAGCATGGAGATAACGAGGCTTAAGTGCCCTGCACGATTAAAGCCTCCAACTAACATTAGCAAACTGAGCGGACTAGCCTATACAATAACGTTATCTGCCTGGCTAACGTTGATAGCTCTTTATAATGGTTTCTGAGGCCTGCTTTGATAGTTACGTTGAGCAATATAATATATATAAAAAGGTTGGCTACAGCAGAGACTCTGGTGTCACTACATAAAAACATACAGTGCAATAATACATAGAGTTTTCTCTCAGGTGATAACGGGCTACGTAGCTACACAATAACGTCCACAGTGGCGTTAGCTGTTTAGCAAGCGAGCTAAAGCTACCTGACTTTTGGGCTAGCAGCTAACGTTGGTTAGCATCAACTCCCACGAACCGGACGGACAAACTCAACTTACTTGCACCGCGCGGCTCAGGAAAGTACCGGCGTCTGCGGCTAACCGCTTCACGTTAAAATCCATGGCGCAGCGGTGGAAATAAACACTTAATACAACAGCTAGCGTGTCTCACAGTCAGACTGCCATCCCTACAGAAAATGTCATTGGGGCAACTTTTTTTTGTTGGAGTTCCACCCAGCTGTTGATCCTGACAAAGGTAGTATACGCACAAGATAGTTCACGTCTCCATCCTATTCTGACAGCCCAAATGTCGCGCATGCGCATACCCGCGTACGAAAAGGATGGCAAAGTTTACAATATTTTGTCTTTTTAACAATAGCAATACACTGAAACTACTGTTTAATCCTAATATAGACTGGTTTATCGGGTCTAGGTGCTCTACTCTGCTCTATCGGCAGATATAATATCGGAATCATATTAGGAATATAATATGTAGTAAACGTTTACTTTAACAAATTATGATAGTTAAACAACAAACACATCTGTTCCAAATTTAAGGGACGCCTGATATTTATAAAAGGACACTTTTAGTTATCAAGTCCAACCAAAATCATCTAAACTTATATTTACATATAAGTGAAAATCACAGGACACAGTGAAGGCACCATGTTCCCCGTGTGCTCTGTATTCTGCTGGCATTTAAACAGCCCTGTATTTGCAGGCCTATCTTTAAATGTATATATATTGAAAAAGTCATAGATTTGTTATAGATTTATTTGAATAGACACATACCGTATAGCTACATACTCAACCCTGGAGCTCACACTCCCTCACTGACTCATTGAAATCTTAATGTTTTACTGACAGCTGTCAGGTTATCCTAATTTTGATCATGACCATTTTTTGTGTGTCAAGTAACATACAAGATCCGAATGTAAAACTGCTTTCAGATATAGTAGTAGAAGGAATATTTGTTCCTGAATATGAACCTGGGATGTCGCTCCTTCTAATAACATCACAGGAACATCACAAGATTTCATTTCATTGTATTTGAGGAGGGTTGTAAGAAGGAGTGGAAGAGAGGAGGCTCATCTGTCCCTATATGCCCCCCCTTTTCTTTTCTTTTTTGCATTATGGGGAAGAGGGAGAGATTGTGCAGATCCTCCCCTTCAGAATATTGTCTGTTTATGGCCATGCAGGTAATTTGTCTCCATATAAATCATATAACAGTATGGTGCTGCTGGTGTGAGATTTGCATTTTTCCCTAATGACTTTCAACCTCATCCTCATGAAACTGCAATACATTCTACCTGTACTATTATTTGGCTTGCTATGTTTGCTAATGAGTACTGACACAATGAGGATAACATTTTTACAACATAATATCTTCTGCAACCCTCTGCTCCTTCATAGAAAATGTCTTGAGAAAGCGGACTTTGGCAGATTTTGGAAAAACAAAAACACTCTTCAGGTCTGGATGTAATTATGCCAGACAGAGCCTGCTACCTGCTGTGTGGGAGGAAGTCAGGCAGAGAGAGAAATCAAATGACTTCCTCTCTGTAGGCTACCAAAGCACCGTCAGCTACAACCTTTTTACTAAACAGGGGCTCCAACGCTTCTTCCTCCACACATTTCTTACTGTGTAGACACAAGTCAAAATGCTGTTGGTTGTTCCCATCACACACACACTGTAGTTTCTTATTGCACTGCCAAGATGACATGTAATACCGTTTTACATAAAAGTATTGATTTACACTGTTAACCTTGAAATGTTTTTTTTATTTGAACAAGCTCAAACTATTTATCATTTTTCAACAAGAAAGCTATAAAACAGTGAATGGACTGCAACAGTAGCCTACACACTGCATTTTTTTTTATAACCACACTATGTCAAAGATATTAAGGCTTTGGCTTTGCTTCATGCTTGGCTAACTTTCAGAGTTGTTGGGGCGGGTGCTTTAAACACACGTGAATATGGAAGTCAGCACTTTTTAGGAAGGCAGAACAGCTCCTTTGAGAGAGGAATAGGTTGCAGTCTCGAGTTGTTCCAGTTGTAAATCTGTGTCTATCTGCTCTTTCTCTTCACAATAACAGAAAGCACTCAAGGGTAAGACAAACTGCAAAAGTACTTTCTCATCAAGCCAAAGCATGTTTCCTGAGATTAGGAAATCCCAACTATCCAAAAAGAAAAGAAAACAACACAGACATGTTGGTGAGATAAAAAGTTATTTATTTGAGAGACTGTTGCTTGCAGTACAACTGCTGAGGGTACATTTTATGTCCTCAACACAACAGAAATACTTAACACAGACTTTCACTTTCTTACATGATGAAGCTTTGACAGAGCAAATGGGATCGAGTTTCATTCAGCACAAGACTTTAGAAAGCAACTGTCATGGATTGTCGTGTCAAAGTACATCTGCAACTTTAGAAAGTCTTCCAAAATAGCTCTGAAAGGCAATTATCCACGCTCCATAAATACTTGATAGGGAATAAAACAATTGTATTTAGGGCAAACTCAAAGCTGAACTACAATTGCTGACTTTTTTGGACCACATTTTCAGCTAGCTCCAAAAGCAGAGGATATCTGAATGTCCTCTTCCTCCAAGACTCCGGGATTCCCTGGAGACCAGTCTGAAAAAAACATCAAGATGACAGGTTAAAGTATCTCAGGAAGCACGAAGCTTTTAAGAATTTCCGAGCTCACTGTTAAACACCATCAAAAGTGTTACAGACAATTACAGACAGCGACAATATGACAAACTAGACAAGAATGCTGACTGCTGAAAGGCTGTGGCTAAATTACATTTCTGGCTTTAAAATTACTTAGCATTACTTGGACCTTTACTCAGTTACATACCAAGTCATTTTCCTAGCCAATTACTCCATTAGTCTGCCATTCATTACTCTTGGCAATTTTAAGTCCCATATCCAAATCTCCTTTTGGCCCGGGTTTTGTTTCCACTAAATCTTAAGAAAAATATTTAATTTTAATATCTTGCTCTTTAGCTGCTTTAACTTTTTCTGTTAGGAAAATCAATGATATAAAATAATAATAATAATGATAATAATAACATCAAACTATATTTCTAAAAATACCCACTTTTCATGTCATGTTTTGTAAATATGTCAAAATTGTAAAATAAACTACAGTGTTAATCATTTCAGTTCAATATTAAGACAGTTACTCCATTGTTCCTGCCTCGTTACCCAGTAATATCACTATTATAATTTAACTGAATAATGTTCTTTAAAACCACATTTCTGATTGCATGTTTAATTTCTACAAAATTATGTTTTTACAGTATCAGTGAGTAAGGACTAGTTTATTTGCCCGAGGGACACATTCCTACAGTACCTGTGCCCCAAAACAGGCTCCAATGAAGGAGGCTCGACTGGCAGTGCATCCCCCGCAGCGCATGGTGTCCCTGACTGCTTCACCCAGCTGGTTCAGCTTCAGGACTCCATGAAGCGCTCCTTGGAACGCACCAGGCAAAGCTATGGGCACAGATTTAGTCATGGTAAATGTAACAGATCAGCAAACTTATACTTTATTGTTCAACTTACATTATGCACTGTGCCTTGAAAAAGACTACAGTTTATCATTCATTTTGCAATTAAAGTAGGCCATTGAACAGACCTGGCGAACAGAGCTGTTCACGTATACATTAAGCATCTCAACCTTTTAGCCCTGTAAAACCCGAGACACCCAACTCAGCGGGAAGGGGGGAAATGAAAAGGAAGGAGGAGGGAGACCATGAGTCAGGAGATCAAAGGCTGGAGGACCAGCTAACGGATATACTGACAGGGAGGGTACGCAAGCCATGCCAAGTCAACAGATCTGGATCCTGCTGCTGCCGACTGGCTTACCTCATGTGTTTGTGAACACAGCAGGTATGAGCTGTTGGGATGTCTTGGTTAGGTTGTCCTTCACCTGGTGGATATGCGCTTCAACACAGATAGAGGAAGAGAGATAAAATGCTTTGTTTAGTGTTTAAACACTGGAGCCTGTTTTTGGCTATGGCTGTCTACTGGCATACCACACATAATGTACCTTGTACACCTTTATTGTATCTTTGGATTTTGAAAGACAAATGTCATAGTTTATTTTAAGACAATCATGCAGCATGTAGCATTTTGTGTTTCTTGCCCAACAGCATCTGAATGTGTTCAACAGATTCAACCCAAAGCATCAGGTGGTTAGAACAACCATGCCAACAACATGTTTTCCACATGAAAAATATTATAAATAATAACAGAGGACATGGTGTTATTAGAAATCCTGAAGTTTTGGATTAGCCAGACTAACTGTTTCACCCTGCTTCCAGTCTTTATGCTAACCCACTTGGCTATAGCTTTGTATATATAATGTAATAATATCAGATTATTCCTTTGGATCTCAAAGTAAACAGACATGAAGCATTACCAATGACAGCCCGGTCTAGCTCCTGAGGGTTCTGTCTCTGCGGGTCATTCAGCTGAGCCAGAACTGCATCCAGAGCTTTGGGATCGGGACCGTTCAGAATGAAATGCTCCAAAAACCTTACAAAGTTGAACAGAAAAAAAAGGGTTAATCCTCAGTTCTAAATAACTGTATGACTGCTGTGCTTGACCATCTTCTACAGAGCCGCTGCTTACCTTGCTGCAGCCAGTGTCACAGCCACACACATGTCATTGTTTTGGGTCACCCGTATGGCTTTCTCTACTTTCTCCAGCATCTCAGGTCGGCCAGCATACATGGCCACCACCGGGGCCAGCCTAGTGACACCGTCCATCTGACAGTCCACATCACAGCCTCAAACACACACACACACACACACAGATTACAACAACTGAAAAAGAAACCTGGGCATGTCTTCATTCATGTATGATCTGTGGTCTTTACCAGTTTCTTCTTTGCCAGCATCCACATTTCGGATAAAAGCTTTCAGGCTCCCGTTTCTCCATGGGCCATCAATGGGAAGGATGGCTTTGGGACCTAACAAATGACACAAAAAGCTAAGTTATATAGGAGAATGAATAGCCTTTTATTTGACAGCTTCATCCTCATTAATATATAGAATCCCTTTGTGGAAGATAGAATCTGAGAAAGAGAAGTAAGAGAGGAGAAGAGACATTTCCTTTAACTTCCTGTTAATGCAGTTTAAGTTTCTGTAGGTGGAGCTCTTTTCTTTGTCTGTTCAGTCATGATGGCTATCACTGCCAATGATGACACAGCTCTTCTTGTTTTTTTCTAAGACTTAAAACCCCCGGCAGTTTACTGTACCCA